GTGGAATAGCATCCTACTTAATGTATTTGAATCAACTAAAGGTCTGTACATACTCAGTAAGTAGTCATATTCTCAATGGTGTTTATTGTATTGATTTTGCGAGGCTTTTTCAGTATCCTTCAGTAGATGGTGCCACAATGGTTCAATTTTTTTCTCGCTGTTATGGTACATCCTTCTATTTATGAATTATTTTATGTCTTAGACAAAATGATGGGTATGCATGCCCAATGTGTTTAGCATATGAATGTAGCTTGGTAACAAATATAATTCTTCCTCTTTTATTTTATTCTCGGGAAAAGAAGAACTGAAATTAGGTGTGAATAACACTGATTAACGCATATTTTGAAGCTTATTCTCAATAGTTAGAGATCCTCTAAAGGGTATCTTTTAACATATTAGATGCCAAATCTTTTATTTAAAATCGAGAGAACCTTCTGTTAATGGTAATGAGGATCTTTGGATAAAATTCATGAATATTATCAAAGAACGAAGAAACAATTGAGCACATTGTGTCGACACGCTTTCTTATTTTAATTGAGGGGGTTTGTGAAATTAACTGACTAATAGATGAATCTCTTTCGCGACAGGTGATCCATGAATAAATAATTATTTTCTCGAAAGATTGAACTGTAAAGGTTCTTACTTGGTACATGTCAAAGCTAACAACTGAGGTGAGTAAGAAATTGAATTTTGTTTACAGATGGCCAATTTCATTATTCTGTCCAATTTCGGAATACTGTGAATTCTTATTGACTAAACATACATGAACTTTTGGTGAAACCTTCTTTTCTGATGCACCTTTGATTGATATTTAGGAACTTACTAAACTTTTTAAAATACAAAAAAATAATAAGACAAGTTCATTCAATTGAAATTCTACGGGTTTTATCGAAAAATGGTGTAAAAGTCAAGTAGGTTTTGTGAAGTTGTCTGCCATGATAGGTTTGTGACCTTCAAGTCGATGTTACAGGGTTGGGATCCCCTCCAGTAACTTTTCCTCGAGTAATGTTCAATTGTTGCTTTAGATTGTGACAACTCATCAAAAGAACATCTAAGGCTATAATATTCATCCAAAAATCCAACTTAACTTTGTCAGAATCTTCTTACTTCTCTCTCTCTCTAAACAACTAAGTATTTCACATTGCATGTTTATTTGTTCCTCTGAGGTCTCTGTTTCTCTCGTATTATTCATGTTTCTTTGCTAAAGTTTTCTCTTCAACTCACATTTTAAGATTTCTTTGTGCAAAAATTGTTTTGTTGAAGGAATTTGACATTCAACAAATAGGTTGACAATAGGCTGGGAAGACCTTACAGGGTTGTCGGGCCTACATATATGTGTTACTTACTCAGTATAGCAGCTTATCAATTTTTTGTCACAGGATTATTGGGTGCAATCAGCATGGGCTATCTGATTTTTTTGTCAGTTCGTCATGTAACTTCAAACCAAGTTCATCTGAGTTTCATTACTTTTGCTGCAACGCACTTGTGACTTTTGGCTTGATGGGAGACAATGTTGGACTTTAAGCCATTGGGCTTTAAAAGAGAAGAAGTGTGAATTGGAAATGGAGGGAAAATGAAAATTTGAAGAAGTGAACTTTTGTCTTGCACTTTGTCCCTCATTGGTGAGGGACAATCACATTTATGTGCTTATATATAGATTCACTTCTTAAAGCTCTTAAAAGGAGTTGAAGAGAATGAACCCTCGCGCTGTCGTCGTCGCTCGCTCGGCTCGGCTTCGTATTTGGATTTGTCAAATCGATCGATAAGATTATTTTTGGACAAAATTTATTTAATTATTTAATAATTAATTAAATGCCAAATCACTGCTGAACGTTCAGAGGGCCTCACTGGCCGCGGTTCTGCCGCGACCGCGGTAGAATCGCGACAGTCAGATTCAGAGAAGCTCTCTGGCCGCGGTTCGGCCGCGATCGCGGCAGGCCGCGTATTTTCTGAAAATGCACCTTTCCAGACACCTCTT